AAAGGCAAGCCACAGCCTGGAAGAAGCATTGGCAAAACACACATATGATAAAGAATTCTGTGCCAGTCATCGACTTCTTGCTTCTCAGCTCCAAATGCATCCTTCTTTGCTGCTCTGTGATAATGGAGGCGGGCTGGGTGAATATTCCCTTGTGACTTCGGTGTGATGCTATGGCTGTAGAGGGCGCTGGAGAGACACTGAAGGAGGACACTGAGGGCATCTTCCCTCCCCGTAGCCCCGGTCCTGCAGCCAGTTCTCCTGCACTGGGCTCCTCCTACAGGGCACGGCTTTCTCCATTGCCTGCCTCCAGCTCCCAATTCTGGTAGCACACAGCAACCAGCAGTGCCCAGCTGCTAGAAGCTTCCCTCAGCACCTTTTCAAAGTGGTGTGCCCTAGCAAGGCACCTGACTGAACTGCTCCTCCCAGGACCCCTCAGGGGACTGTGCAGCAAGTTCGAAGGTATGGCAGGTCCCTGTGGACAACATCCCCAATACCCTAAATGGCAGATTTCAGTACCCACTGGTGAGCCACGCTGCACTCTCTCCAACAGGTCTGGAGCGCTCCTCAGACCCTCTATCTCAGCTCTGCCTGTAGTGGCTGTCCCTGTCTTTGCTTTTCTTTCTGTATTTGTCAGTCGTCTTTGACTCGTATAAGTCATTTCCCCATTACTCCAATCTCCTGTTAATGATTCTCCTGATTGGACTCTCACTGATACTGGCATATCCACAATATCTAAAGAAACCTCACAACTCAATAATAAATAAAACAAACCACACACCTAGAAGAACAAACAAAAGATTTAAACAAACCACCAAATATATAGAAGGCAGATAAGCACATAAAAATATTTTCAATACGATTAATCATTAGGATTTGCAGATTAAAACCACAATGAAATACTACTGCATCACAAAACAGCTCAAATTTTTTAAAAAACGACAGTATCAACTACATTAAGGATGCAAAGCAACACTTATGCATTGCTAGTGGGAATGCAATACAAAGTGGTTCATCACTTTGGAATACAGTTTGGCAATTTTGTATAAAGTTAAATATACACTTATGAATAAATCTCATATTTTAATTTGCAATTCCTTAATGACAAATGATGTTGAGCATCTTTTTGTATGCTTATTTACTATCTGCTTATCCTCATGGTGAAGTGTCTACAGAGATATTTTACCCGTTTTTAAGTTGGGTTGTTTTTTTACTGTTGAGTTTTAAGAATTTGTATATTTTGGATACTAGTCCTTTATCAGATATGTGTTTTGTAAATATCTTCTCTCAGGCTGTGACTTTTTCATTCTCTTAACAGTGTCTTTTGCAGAGCAGAAGTTTTTAATTTTAATATAGTCCAACCAATTTTTTGTTTCATGACTTATGCTTTTGGTGTTGTATCTAAAAATTCATTGCTAAACCCAAAAGTTATCTAAATTTTGTTTTATAGCTTTGCATTTCACATGTAAGTCTAGGACAAATTTTGAGTTAATTTTGTGAAAGATGGAAAGTCTATGTCTAGGTTCTTTTTTTTCTTTGCTATGGACATTCAATTCTTCCAGCACCACATATTGAAAAGACTATCCTTTTGTCTGGCCGGTGTTGCTCAGTGGTTGAACCAGGAGGTCATGGTTAGATTTCTGGTCAGGACACATGCCCAGGTTGCAGCCTCAATCCCCAGTAGGGGGCATGCAGGAGACAGCCAATCAATGATTCTCTCTCATTATTGATGTTTTTATCCCTCTCTCCATCTCCCTTCCTCTCTGAAATCAATAAAAACTCATATTTTTTAAAAAGAAAAGGCTATCCTTTTGAATTGCCTTTTGCTCCTTTGTCCAAGATCAGTTGACTATTACTTAATATAAATTTTACTTCAATAAAATTGTCTCAAAAAATACATGCACACAAAAAATACATCTTTTTCAAAAATATAAACAAAAGTGTGTACTTTAAACAGAGTAAAGTGATTGCTGAGTTATATGAGAGGGTGTGTGGTTTGGCTCTAAAAGAGAGTGAGTGAGTGAATGAATGAATGATGAACAGAAACAGTGAGAGGCCTTGCACAGACCATTGATGGTAATTTAGGCAGGTTGATGGCTACATTCTTCTCTTATTCTTCCTGGGCCCCAGGCAACTCAGGTAGAAACTACGTTTCTTAGTGTCACCATCCCCTATCATCCCCCCTCCTTACTTCTTGCTACATTGACTAAGCTCTCACCAACAGTATGTGAGTAGAAGTGACTGTACCATTTCTAATTTCATATTCTTAAAAACACTTGCTCTGTACTCTATCCTTCTTGCCTTCCTGCTCATCAGAAATGGTCACAAGTGGAGCAGCCTTAAAACCATGTATTGAAGATAGCGGAGCTGCCTTGCTTGTCTGCGTTCCTGCATGACTTTGAGCAGCAAAGGGTAACATTGGGGAAGTCAGACTTCTCTTCCTGGAAAGTGAGGCTGCATCAGCACCTGTGGGAACTGCCAAAGCAGGGACAAACTGGGGCTGAGTGAGATCAAGAATTGTTTGTTCATTCCTGCCCTGGCTGGTTTGGCTCAGTGGATAGAGCTTCAGCCTGTGAACTGAAGGGTCCCGGGTTTGATTCCAGTCCAGGGCACATGCCTGTGTTGCGGGCTCAATCCCCAGTAGGGTGAGTGCAGAAGACAGCCAATCAATGATTCTCCCTCATCGTTGATGTTTCTATCTCTCTCTCTCTCCCCCTTCCTCTCTGAATTCAATAATAATATTTATTTTTTAAAAAAAGAATTGTTCCTTCCTAAAAAACAACCCTTCCCACCCAATCCTCTCATGGTCTTCACTCCCACCCCCCCTTTCTTTTCTTTTCTTTTTTTAGTTGATTTCAGAAAGGAAGGGAAAGGGAGAGAGAGATATAGAAACATCAATGATGAGAGGGAATCATTGATTGGCTGCCTCCTGCACGCCCCCCACTGGGGATTGAGCCCACAACCCAGGCATGTGCCCTGACCGGGAATCAAACCGTGGACCTCCTGGTTCATAGGTCGATGCTCAGCCACTGAGCCACGTTAGCCGGGCTTCACTCTTAATGCCTATCATAATGATTCTTGGCCTGGTGTCTTGGAGGCCCAACAATCTCTTCTGGAACAGTCTTTGGCATTTGTGGCCTTCTCTGGCCTCAAAGGATATGTATCCAAGTTCTGGGTGTGGTGCAAAAAAAGGAAAGTAACTCATGCCCTCTACCAGTACTGCACCCATAGCACACACACCGGATCCCTGTGCACATGAAGGGGAGGAGGGCATTCGTGAAGGAGTGAGAGGGTTGGCATGAACAATTACTAATATCGTCAGGTTCATACTTAATCATTGTATTCTGGCATTCTACTAGAATTTATTTAGTGCCACCACCATCCCCCAAACTGAAAAGTCAGTACCACAGTGGTATTTATAACTCACATGCAGTTAGGATTACAGTCTTACATTGTTGTTATTTTTAATCTTTTTGTATCATTTTGTTTGGGTGTGTCTCTTTGAGGCAAATTGTTGATTTTTTAAAATATATTTTATTGGTTTTTTACACAGAGAAAGGGAGAGGGATAGAGAGTTAGAAACATCGATGAGAGAGAAACATCGATCAGCTGCCTCCTGCACACCCCCCACTGGGGATGTGCCCACAACCAAGGTACATGCCCTTGACCAGAATCGAACCCGGGACCCCTCAGTCCGCAGGCTAACGCTCTATCCACTGTGCCAAACCGGTTAGGGCAATTGTTGATTTTTTTAAATCCAAACTTTGAGTCTTTGTCTTCTACTAGGTAGTTTAAAGCATTTACATATATTGTTAAATTATGTGTTTAGTTTTTGACAGTCTTGCTTATGATTCATGCTTGTTTATGATTCTAATTACTTTTTTCCTGTCTTTTTAAGATATATTCTTATTGACTTCAGGGAGGAGGGGAAAGAGATAGAAACATCAATGATGAGAAAGAGGACCATGGGATCGGCTGCCTCCCCCACGCCCCACATTGGGGATCAAGGCCTCAACCCGGGCATGCTCCCCATCGGGAATCCAACTAAGACCTTCTGGCTCGCAGCTCAAAGCTCAACCACTGAGCCACACCAGCCGGGCTTTCTTGTCCTTTATTGTGCAGATTGTGTTTGGTTTGCTTTTATCTTGCTGTGATTCGGAAGAAAAATATCCTATTTTAAAATCCTACTAGGCTTAAGTGTTTAATATGTTTTTATTGATTTTTAGAGAGAGAGGAGGAGAGAGGGATAGAAACACCTGATGAGAGAGAAACTCCTGCACTCCCCTTTCTGGCAATCGTGCCCTGACCAGGAATCAAACCGTGATCTCTTCTGTTCCTGGGGTGGATGCTCAACCACCGAGCCAACCAGCTCGGCGGCTTAATTATAAAAATATACTTTTTATTTTAAGAGGACCTGCACATCATTATTAAGCATGTTCTAAGTCTAATAAAATATCAGTGTTCTTCTAAGAAATGTATTTCTTAGTGTCTGTACCTTAGCAAATCACCTCCAAATGAAATGATACAGATATTTAGTGTAAGGATAGTATGGTAAGATTTTAGACTTGGTACAAAATAAATATGTAATTTATCACACATACTGCTACTCAGAAGTCCAGCTGTGATCCTTGTCAGTGACCCTTTTGAATGGCAGCTCATCTTCTTACTAGTTTTAGTAGAATTAATTGATAATGTGGTGGTTTTTCTTCTGTTTCTCCGCCTTATTTACTCCTTTGACATCACATTCTCGTATACATACTCTGTCTTTGAGGAATAGTAAACCTTTTGTAGAGAAGTAAAATAAATAGCCCCTCATACCTCTTTTGGCATGCTGTCTATAAAAGCACTTTGTAAACATATGAGTGGTAAAATCAGCCCTTCAAGGGATTTTTCAAACCCGCGTGATTTTGTAAGGAAGGTCCATAAATATAACTGACTGAATTTTTTAAATATGAAGCTTTACTTAAATAAATTGATCTTCTAATATATTTCATGTTTCCCAGGTCTTCACACCACAGATAATATTAGGAGAGAAAGAAGTATGTGCTGTTGCAGAATAAACGTGAGTTACTCTTGTTTGCCTATTTAAAATTGTAGCAGAATTCAGGCACACATATCCATGCGACTATGATTATGAGCAATGGCATTTGCTCCATTGTTTGTTTTTCACTTGGTGCTCGTCACTGCCGTGTGGTTCCTAATAGAATGATCCTCCCGTCACGCTCTTTCCTGTGCCGTCTGGATGTGATGCGGTCTTTGTGTTTGGTGCCTCTCCCCTGCCTCCTTCCCAATTCTAAAAATAAGATTTTTTCTGTGGGTAAAATAAGAAGAAAATGAAAGTGAGTAAAAGAATCACAACTCGCAGACACCAAGATCATTCATGATCCCCACAGCTATTTCTGGCGCCACTGGCTGGGCTAGTCACTGTGAGCTGAGGCTAGGTGGGGTGTCACATGCACCTTGGGGTAGCTCTCTAAACCAGCCATGTCTCTGCCTCTCAAGAAAAAGCACTGTAATTCAGGGGAGTGAGAGTGTTACAGTATATTTGAATCCACTGTATTTAGATAGTTCATTAATTTTACATTAGGAAATATACCTGGATGAGCCTGGCATGTGTGGCTCAGTTGGTTGAGTGAAGCCCCGTGCACGGATAGGGCACCAGTCAGGGCACATGGTCAGGTTGCGGGCTTGATGTTTCTCTCTCATCAGTGGTTTTCTGTCTCTCACTCTCCCTTCCTTTCTCTCTAAAACCAACAAAAATATATTTAAAAAAATATATAGTGAATGACAAGAGAAAGAACAGTATATTCTCCACCTGGCTTAAAAGATAAAATATTGGAGATATAACTAAAGTCTAACTGAGACCATTAAGTCTCTGGTTTAAAGAAAACAAAATAAGCCACGCCCTGGCAGGTGTGGCTCAATTGGTTGAGCATTGTCTCATGCACCGAAAGGTCACTGGTTCCATTCCCAGTCAGGGCACATGCCTGGGTTTCAGGCTCAGTCCTTGAAGGGGGCATGCAGGAGGGAACTGATTGATGTTTCTCTCTCCCTCTCCCTTCCTCTCTCTCTAAAATCAATTTAGAAAAAAATTATTTTTAAATAAGCAAAAAACAACAGCAACACAATTACACCCCAACTTCCACTTTTATTGAAGTACTAGGGGCCCAGTGCACGAATTTGTGCACCTTGAAAGGAACTGTGGGCAGCGAGGCTGCAGTAGGCACAGGGCTGGGTCTCGGCCCATCCTCTGCGCCCCGCCCAGCCCCTCCCACCACGGCCCCCAGGTCCTCTGTCTGCCAGCAGCCCCACTCCCACCGCCACTGCTCCCATGCGCAGAGCGATTGGGGCCGGCGGCCCCTCCTACTGTCCCCCCCCAGTCCCCTGTCTGCCAGCAGCCCTGCTCTCCCTGCCGCCGCACCCATGCACTGATGGTGCCACTTGCACTCCCTGACTCCATGAAGCAATTGGGAACAGTGCCAGCACCAGGTGTAAGCAGGGCCATCGCCATCAGTAGGTGTGAGTGGCAGCTGCTGCCCTGATCACCTCTCAGGAGTAGGGGGAGGTGGAGAAGCCCTGAGAGGTGATCTGGGCCAGATCTGGGTGCGAGCAGTGGCTTTGAGCACCGGCAGCATTGGGACTGGCGCCAGGCACCAGCAGCAGGTGCGAGCGGCGGCTCCAGTGCAGGCTGCAGGTACAAGCATCAGGTGGGACTGTGGCGCATGGGAGCAAAGAATTTTCAGTAACCACCAGAGACTCTCCCCAATGACAGTGACCAGCACCCCGCCTTGGTCTGGCGCCCCCGCTCACCTGCTCCACCATCCCACTGCGGCCAATGCCCGCCATGTTCTGCACACACTCCCTGGTGGTCAGCGCACATCATAGCGACCAGTTGTTCAGTTATTCGTACGTTTGGTCTATTTGCATATTAGCCTTTTATTATATAGGATAACATACATCTGCTAATTTATTTTTAATGAGTAAATGATTTTCAAAATTCAGTGCTTGACCACCACTTGTAAATTTCTTGGAACAACCTTGCCTCTGATGACAACATAACAAGGTGTTATAATAATACGACTGCTGGACATTATCTTCCTGAGCCATCAAATTGATGAATGAAACAGTGTCATTTGACTTTCCTCACAGGAAGATGTTATTTCAACACATTTTGTTGACTATATAAATGCCAACAGTTCATTCAGAAATACAAGACTGTAAATGAAAAATAAGTCTCTTGTCTACCCCGGTCCTCCAATCCCTCACGACTTCTTTTCCCAGGAGAGGCAGCTCCAGCTTCAGTTTCTTGTGTGTCCTGCCAGAATATGGCTGCAGGAAACAGAAAGCCACTATCCTGGCATTACCAAGTACATGCTTCTGTTTCTCATTAATGGGCAGTCTGGAGGCAGGCAATCAAGGTCAGGCAGCATTGTCATGACATCATCAATGTCCCAGCCACTTTCCATCCCTTGACTGTCAAACTTAATGTGTGGCTTTTGCTTTCTTGTTTATTATCTCATGGTCACAAGGTGACCACTCCACCTTCACTCTCACATCTGTATTTCAGAAATCAAGAAGTAGAAAGAAAGAGGGAAAGTGATACTTGTATTAAAGCAAAAACATCCCAAAGGTCTCCAGCTGTCTTTTATTTATATCTCATTGCCCACAGTGGTGTCACCTGGCCACTTGGAGGGAGCCTGGGAAGTGGAATATTTTATCTGGGCCCATTGCCACTCTCAACAAAACGTCTCTTAGCAAAGAAGGGCAGCAAAGAATTGCATACTATATCCACCAATCCTATTTTGCTTTTTTCACTTAACTCTGATTCAACATGCTGTTCCTCCTCAGAATATAGACTTGCAGTATCAGTTAGATTCATTTATTTGTTTATATTTATTTAATAAACTAGAGGGCCGGTGCCTCTCGCAGTCCGGGACCGCTCGAATGGTCGAACGGTTGAAAGGTCACTCAGGCTTTTATAGATATAGATAAGAATGTGTTGCTCACTAAGGTGGCAGACACTAATTGCCTTCCAATAGCCATTTCTGCTATTTTTAGAACCACTGACTTTTAGATGGGCACAAGGCCACCCAGAGTAAGACTACATTTTCAGGCATTCTTTCAGCAAGGTGCGGCCATATGATGAATTTCTGGGATGAGCGCCTAAGTGAAGTGTGCACCTTCCCGGTCCAGCCTTTGTAGAGGACACAGGTGCCTTCCCCTCCTCTTTTTTTCCCTTCCTGCTGGCTGAACGGTGGACTTGTGGTGCTCCCTCATGCAAGTAACAGCAGCCAAATCTACATCCTAACTAAGACCTCCATCAATGTGCCAGACACTGCCCTAGAGCCCAGGATACCAAAAAAAATGATAAATTAACTTTCTGCCTTTGAGGAGCTCAGAATCTGGTAGGGAAGACCAGTGTGTGAACGGATATCTTTGAAGTCATGTGATCAGTGCTGTGGTGGGCCCAAGGACCTTTGGAGCCCAGCAAATTCAATCATTTGTGCAGCTTTCCAGCCATTCACACATTTGTTCATTTACCCACTTATTCATATAACAATTCATCTATCATCCACCCAGTCTTTCTTCCAGTCACCCCTCCCACACAGCTCATGAGAACCCTGAATGGTGGTTTTGGGTTTTTTTTTTGCTTGAATATATATATATATTTCTGATTTCAGAGAGTAAAGGAGAGGGAGAGAGAGATAGAAACATCAATGATGAGATAGAGTCATTGATCGACTGCTTCCTGCACACCCCACACTGGGGATCGAGCCCACAGCAACCCAGGCCTATGCCCTGAGAGGGAATCGAACAGAGACCTCCTGATTCATGGGTTGATGCTCAGCCACTGAGCCACACAGACTGGGCTGTAGTCTTTTTTGTAGAGAATTATGCAGGACCCATTCTGATGTGCTTTTATTAAAATTGAACCAATCAGAATGGAACCTTTTACTATAATTTTAACAGATGCCAGGTACCAAGATCATCACACACATGCAATATAATGATGAGATTTCATATTCAAATCACGTAGGAAATGCTTATTTGTGCACATTTTTAGATTTTCCTAGATAATAAAAATTATATATTCACTAGACAGTTCCTTCCTCTTCTGAGTCAGATGTGACAACAGTTCACATTATAGCCAACCCTGGGGAAATGCAGGGAGAAAGAAGAAAAACAAATTCAGTGTTGGCTGTAGTCACTTGTGATGCTATAAAAGTAAGGGCCTGCCTGACCAGCATGGCTCAGTGGTTGAGTGTTGACCTATGAACCAGGAGGTAAGGGTTCAAATCCTTGTTGGAGCACATGTCTGGGTTGCAGGCTCGATCCTTAGTGTGGGGTATGCAGGAGGCAGCCCATCAATGACTCTCTCATCATTGATGTTTCTATCTCTCTCTCTCCCTCTCCCTTCCTCTCTGAAATCAATAAATAGAAAATTTTTAAAAAGAAATTAAATAGTTCACATATTGACCCCCGTTAACAAATATTAAATGTTATTCATGAAAAATTCAGTGAACTTATTTAGCTTAAATCATTAAATATCAAAGTTCTAACAAACTTAAGAAGTTAACTCTAATATTAATGGAGATGGACTCGGGGGAGAAGAGGGCAAGGTAGGGGAAAGAGGAGAGGGAAGGTCAAGTGTTTCTTTTTCAAATGTAAAGACCCGGAACCTGCAGAAATCCAGCCCTGTTCTTGGTGCTGGGAGTGGAAGGGCACAGAGAATCGGATCTCTTTCCCCTGTCCCATGGCAGGGCATGTGCCGTCTGCTCAGGTGGATGAGACACACACCGGCCAAGTCAAATAGCAGATGGGATGACACTACATGCGATGCCGTCAAGGGCATATGACATGGCTAATGTTGAAAAAACTTTACAAATAAGAACTATGGATTCCTCCAAGTGGGCAGCGGTAGTCACAATAGCTTGGAAAGGCCCAGGAAGCTCCTCCTACCTCCTCTCCCTTCCTTCCTCCCAGCTCCAGGCACTGGGGGAATACAGTGAACTAAACAGAGTGAAATTCCTACCCTCACGGCACTTCCCTTCTAGTGGGGCAA